AGAGAGAGAGACTCAATACGCTTTTCAGCTATCTTGGCCTGAATCACCATATATGAATGATACGCAGCTGCTGCCGCTCGCATCTGCACACGGAGAGATGTCATATCCGGGTTATGAGTGGACCACCCTATGGATCGCGTGTAGGTCAAGAGAAGACACGGTGTTCGTGGTTGCTTTATCGCGTCATGCCTCAGAACACATTGTTTCCTCTTCCCCAACCGCAAACCGTCAGCCAGAGAGCCAGCAGGGACCGCTGTTGCGCGATTCTCCACAAGGTGGTTCAGTTCGGGCGCTGGAAGAACCTTTTGATTGGTGATCTTTTCCACTTTTCAGGCGCTCTGAAGCCTCTCACCCTCGATGGCAAACTGAATTTTCCGGTTACTTCCAAAAGTTGCAGTTGTGCGCGGGGAGGTGGGTACGGGCGGGCGGATGAAATAGCGCACTTGCGAGAGACTAAATAGCCGACAACGTTCTGATGAAAGCCACTATGACCCTCGTCCAGCGACCAAATACGATCCCCCTCGCTGGGGAACCCTCCCCCAACGTACGACGTGCCCTGATTCCGCTGCGCAGCACGGACCGACATGGAAATCCTTAACAAGAATATGATGTAAGTAAAAGACTACTATTGAAACAGATAAATGGAGCGCACTTGGGAGGTTGCCATCGTCACAGTAAGCTCGGAGACATGCATAATAGTTTCTGCTCGTGCAGTTACCTACCTGAATGTGGTCGCTTTTCACCAGATGGACGAGCTCTTGCTTACTGATAGCACAGGTTTGTGGAGCGAGAACTCTTCTCAAATAGCTGGGTGTGATTACAACGTCAGCAAAATCGTCGTCAAAACCCGTGACACCAGGCGAATCCGCAGTGATTAACTTGAAGAGCTAAAGCAATTAAATTAAACACGCTTGGAACAAGCAAACAATAACAATCGCAAACACTAGTAGAGTATTTTCTAGAACTGCTGCATCAAGTAGATTGGGTCCCGATACGAATGCCGCGTACGCCCGCTAGCAATACCCTTTTTAATAGTACTGCTCAAGAAGAGACACTCCACGACTGAGTGGTGACAACTTGAAGTGAAATACCATGGATCCCTCAAATGGCATATGTACCGAG